GGTTGGTATGAAGGCTTTCCTTCAGATAATTTTCAATAACCAACTTGCGGAACAGTCTCTCAATATCATTTTTCATCCATTTTTTACCCAAGCCATGCATAGGATGTAAATTGTGTTCTGGCAAAATAAGAGAACATGAACAGCAATTAAAAAGGTAATTGATGAAGGAAATGAGGCTGGTTGTAATGAAAATACTTGCTTACCTGCATCAACTATTTTTTTCGCTTTACTTCCCTTGAACACATCTACCATGTGCAGAAGAGAGAAGTTGAATTTGGGCCCAGTTCCATCACACTTATCCTTAACAAATTTCACTATGGCCCGAGCTTCCGACGTCACATCAGTTTCAGTATATTGACCCTGCAAATGTTTAAATACGATCATAATAATTTTACAGTAACACACATTTTCTTAGCAGAGACTAGTTTATGTGATGCTTATTTGAAGAACAGAATTATTATTATTATTAATACTAATGTCAATTACCTTAGCCTCACAGTTATCACAAGCTGTTGCTCTATTTTTCAAACACATCTCTGAGGAATAAAATTCACCAAAGTGGTGTAACTGCTGAGACCGACGGCAATCAGTCTTATTTTCAAAGAAGGAAATCATAAATCTGAGATTTTCCAAGTGTCTATCAAGAACAGTTCTCCTTGCATTCCAGTCTGTATATGAAGACTGATCACCTGACAATAAAAAATAAAGAGTTGTAATCAGTTATGGAATCAATGATACAAGAAAGAGAAAGTCCAGAGCTGGGTACTCACTCTCAATCATTGACTTCAATCGTATGGAATCTCCATATTTATAATATGTTATGCAATGGGACAATTTACCGTCACGACCAGCTCTTCCGGTTCCCTGATAGTATTCGTCTATTGACTTGGGCATAGTATGGTAAAAGACAAAGCGGACGTCGGGCTTGTCAATCCCCATGCCAAAGGCGATTGTAGCAGCAACAACCTTCTCAGATATTCACAAAAAGAAAAAAATGTCAAACCAATTGGATTCACAAAAAGAGGATTCAATTTAGAAACAGTCAGGAGAAGATTATTAAAGCACCTTCACTTTATTGGAGATCCACTGAGATTGAGCTGTGGCTCTTTCCTTGTCAGAAAGACCAGCATGATATGCTACAGTTTGGATGCCAGCACTAGTGAACTCCTGAGCAGTTGTCTCACAGTCTTTTCTAGAGAAGCAGTACACTATCCCTGACGAGCGGGGAAATTTCTCCTTGATCATTTCAATCATATCAGCATTACATGCTTTTGACTTTTTGGGTAACACTGTATATTTCAAATTTGATCGATTGAAACTGGACAGGAACCTGAAAAGGTAAGTTATTGATAAAAAATATGAAAGTAAACACCATTAAGTTTTTGAAAGTAACACAAATAAATAAGTTGATCCTACATTTTCACATCGACAAGACCAAGCTGATGTTTGATATCTATCCGAACTCTAGGAGTGGCTGTGGCTGTCAAAGCCATAAATGGAACTTTAGTATACTTTACACGGAGTTCATTCAGTAAATGACAAGATATCATCAATTTTTATGATAATAAAAACACACAAATCCATGGGTAAAAATGTTATTTGGTTAAAATAGAGGACAAAATACATTACCTGAAGTCATGGCCCCACTGGGACACACAATGAGCTTCGTCAATAACAAAACGAGCTAATTTTTCACGTGAATGTAGAGATGAGAGAATATTTTTCAGCTGATCACTTGCACTCAACATTTCAGGTGTAACATACAACAACTTAATACCTGAGGGTCAAAGGTATAGGATTAATATTTAAAAGAAACTTTTATAACAAAAACATCAAGCACAAACTTACTTGGTTCCCTCAAACCTAGATCTGAATATACATTGTCAACTTGCTGTCTGGAGATATCACCAGATAAGCACGCAGATGGAATCTGTAATCAAGAAGTTTGTAATGAGCACGGATTCAAAATGTGATTAAACATATAGGCTGTTAATCTGACATAGTACTTACATCCAAAGAATTAAGTTTCTGCACTTGATCAAATATGAGTGATTTCAGAGGTGAGATTACTATTGAGACTCCTGGATGTAATAGGGCAGGAAGTTGATAACACAATGACTTTCCACCTCCGGTAGGCATAAGTACAAAACAATCATGACCCAAGATAGCTGCATTAATAATCTGAAGTTGATTAGGACGGAACTCGCGTAGTCCAAATTTAGCTTGGAATACATCACTCATTTGCTTTGAGTGACTGAAACAATGGCCGTCAAATTCTCCAGTCCTACCATCATTCCTAATACCATGGTGGAACCGTTCTAATTCAGAATCTCCACTAGTGACTTGGGCAACAGATTTTGAAGAGGTGGAAGGCAAAGACTGCATGCCAGATGGTTTTCTGCTGGCAATTTGCTGTGGGGGCCTTTCAGACAGAACACATTGCTGGAAGTCATCCTCATCTTCCTCTTCTATGTTAAAATCATTATGATCTGAAGGTGTGTTTGAAAATGAATCACTTCTCCTCAAATTTGAGCTTGTAGATGGGGAATAAGATGTACTTGAGACATCATTCCTTTCAATTGTCGAAAATGAACTACTGCTAAGCCTGTTGTTTGAAGAAGGTTGGTCCGGCTTGGATAGCCAGGAGTTCACTGTAACTGGTGAAGACAGAGTACTATTACAATTACTACTGTTAAAAAGCCTGTTGTTTGAAGTGGGTGGATCAGACTAAGGCAGCCACGAGTTTACTGCACTTAGTGGTGACTGAACTGTGGAAGTGCTAGACAGTTCTGATAAATTTGAGATACTGGCAGTAGATAAGTTGGAAAATGACTGCACTCACCTCCCCCCTGGTTCCCTCCATTATAAGCTGGCTTCTGAGGTGATGGATTTGGCTTCGGAGCTGAAGCTGTAGGAGCAGCAGCACTGCTGGAGTGGCCATTAACAGTTGGGCCATTAGTAGCTCTAGCTGCAGGCGCTGGAGCTGGTGCAGCAGCCCCGTCAGCAGTCCATGGGACTGGATTGCCAATACGGTTTCCTTCTGGCGCAACAACTTCCACATCCAAAATGATCATGATTCGTCTGAAACAGTACGCCCTTTAATGTGAGTTACCAATGTATTTTGTATGTAATATATAGAAATGGGTGTGTAAGTAACTTACCTTTCTTCTTTTCCTGACTCTGGTATTATACTGGTGGTGTAGTACCTCTTAATATGGACAATGGTGTTGTCAGATAGCTCACCACTAAGAATCATTTTGTTTAGTAGGGTATGAAGCATCGCATACCAGGTGTCATGCACGCCATCATACACTTGGACTCTGTAACGCACATTGTCTCCTCTAGATAATTTTCTAATTCTCTAAAATTTCAAAACAAAATAGTTAGTTTAAAAAACACAGGAAAATGGAAAATCTAAATGCAATAATGATAATCTGTCAAAACTTACCAGAATCTGCATAATAGGAGTGTCTACCTGTCCACCATTCATGATGGTCTGCAAAAGGGAACACAGACGAATTGGTGAGAAAATAGATGTGCCAAATATCAAGAATTTGTGGCCAACAAATGTGTTTCAACAATTAAGGACTGAGATCAATGGGCAAGCAATGTGCACGACATATAATAGCCTTCCTACCTAGAAGTAACTATAAGCCTACATAGAACACAACCTCGTGATAACTATATTGCGTTCATTGAAATCAATGTTGATGAGCGAATATAACAACAGAATAATCAAGAAAATAATACTGTTGTGCAATTTATTGACTTTCCCTGGCGGCCTTTTCCATAATTCAAGAACAAATTTATCATTTATACTAACTGTATTCAAACTCTACTTGATGATCTGAAATGTGATTTTGTGTTATATGTGGATGATACCATGTAGGTTAAGCGCATGCGCGAACAACGCCATCTATTGACATGATTTATCACTTCTGATAAATTGCTTACAACAGATTCCACTTTCATTACATACAAAAAGCTCTAAATTACACCATACTTGAAAAAAATGGTAAAGAACGAGTATCCTCCTTTTGCATCAAATTAATTTGATGGTTTTTGATTCTACTTGTTGTATCTGTTTGTGGCTATATCAGGTTAAGGAGATTAACAGTTTAACAGTTATACAGTTTAACAGTTGCATAATATGCTTATATTTCGTCCGAAAACCATTAATTTCACACAAATATGCGTTCGCACGGTAAAAAAAATCGTCAAACGTAATCTCTTGCATCGCTACCGTCCGACGGAAAGCAAAGATCATGGATTCGGGAATCCCAACCTAACTTTTGCCGACTCAGCCGATTTCACGAAAAATCACCAAAAACACATCCGAGACATTTCATCAAGCCTTTCATAGCAGTGCTGAAGGTTTCGGTCGGCAGTTTCGTTCAACAGAACGTATTTCAAAGTAAAAATAATGGATTGAGGCCGAAATATATGCACACAATACAACTGTTAAACTGTGCTTTCCTGCTAGTCCATGACTTTCCTTACTCCTGTAAACTGACGTCAAGAATTGTAAAAATCTGTTCTCTGCTTTTTATTTTTCTTAAATAAACAAACTAAACTAAAACTAAACTTAAAAATCACTTACATTCAAAGCTCCCTCAGAGAGCTCCATGATTGGCTGGCAAGGTTCAGCTGGCGTGGCTTGGGGGTGGCGTGGTGCGGCTGCAGCGCTACCCTCCGCCACGCCCCGGAGCCAGGCCCGTTGAGGCCTGTCCCAATCCCTGCTCTGGTGTGACGCCTGGGCGTGGTCAAGCTGTGCGACTTCGGCTTCGCTAGGCTGATCGCCTCGCCCGGCAAGACGTACACGGACTACGTGGCGACGCGGTGGTACCGCGCGCCGCAGCTCCTGGTCGGGGACAACAAGTATGGCAAGTGAGTACGCAGGGACCAGGATCGATGTGTTTCGGTGAGGCTTCTGCTGGCTCCTCCGCCACTGACGGCCACCTTTTCTCGTCTCCACCCCCAGGGCGGTGGACGTGTGGGCGGTGGGCTGGGCTGCCTTTTCTCCGAGATGCTGAGCGGCGACCCGCTGTTCCCCGGTCAGTCCGACATCGACCAGCTCTTCCAGATCATCAAGGTCCTCGGCAAGCTGTCCCCGCG